GAAAAGTGTATTAAGCTACGTGGTGAATACTTTGAAAAACAATAAAAAGTACTATAAGGTCTAGAACCTTGAGTTTTTTTCTTCAAACGACAAAACTTAAAAGGCATGCCTCGTATGATTATGTTTTCGTGTGCCATATTTGTTTAAAAATAGGCACAAATAATTTTTATCTCTTTTTAACAAAAATGCTAACACCATGTTAGCATTTTCACTCCAAAATACAGGTTTTCTAAATTCAGTGAATGTGATATTATAAATAAAGAGTTATTTAGTCAGATTCATGATAAAATCATAGTTTAAACAATAAATTAAGTAGAAAGTTTCTATTATAGTTTTAATTGTTAATAGAGTATCAAGAATTTATTTGTTATGTTTAAGTATTTACAAACGAGTAAATAACATACATTTTCGCAGAATACGTGTAAAGATTAACAATAATCCATTAATTATCTTCAAAGATTTAATTTTTGAAATCAAACCTTTTAGATAACATAACTGATTTAAAAAAATATTAGTAATATAAAGAAGTGTTCAACAGTTAAGTAAAATAGTTTTTTGTAGAGGCAGGTATTAACTTGTAGTCACTTATGTGCAGGTACATAATATATTTTACGATAAATATATGTTTATAGACTAATATATAGACTCTTTTCTAGATTTTTAGACAAAGGTAGCCTAGTTTTGGTAATGGCATTTGGGTTTGAAAGCATTAGACACAATTTATTCAATAACTTTTTTATGGATTTCGTAACAATGTTAATAAAGTGATGTGAGTGATGTTTCAAATTCGATAAATAAAAACGTAATTAAATATCATTTTTTCTGCTTAATGTTACGAAATCTATAAAAAGAAACTTACTAGCTAGACTGACTTATTTAGACACATTTTCTCAATATTGCCTAACTAAAAATTTAATTCCTATCTAAAATTTAACTTTGATTTGCTCTTTGCTAGTGATGGAACACAATTTATAAATACAATGTCAAAATAAAAATAATTTACAGAATAATAAAGTTAATAATGGATTTTTGATATGTGTCAAAATGTTGTGAATGTATGTAGAAATAGAGCTACATGACATAAGTTGTGCGTTCCAACCACTAAATTAATTATTTCAATATAATAACAATATATCTGTTAGATCAAATACAATTTAATTTCATTAATAAATAGTATTTTGTTAATTTCTTCTCTACAAGTGATAAATAACTAAAAATTTAGTCTAAATCAGTTTGTCTAGCTAAAATATAATTACAGGACGAAGTGTATTTTAGTTTATGTGTATAGTTTATTTTATAAAGCCATTCATAGAAGTATTACGTTTAGTTTACTGGCGCTAGATTTGCAAAAGGGTTCAAGAACACGTACATACTTACTTGAATGCCAGAGCTCTTTTGAAATACGATCTTGAATGAAAATATCTAAAACATAATGAATAAATATTTACTTATTCTTAAACTAAGTAACGACGATAGACTCTGGACTATTACTGAATACAATTTAAACTGTTCTATGCTCATACTTATCTATTCAACAGTGTTTAATCTGTGGGGTGAAGGGAGTAGTTAAAAACATCCTGCGTTTAATGTAAATCACATTTCGATATTATTTAGTTATTGCTATCAAATATGCTCAATCATGAAATCTTTTGAAGAAATCTTTTGAAGAAATGTTTTATAGTAAAAAACCACAGGAGAATATTTTTTCACTACTTGCTTGTGATTCATGTGCCCGACAAACCAGTGCAACTATATATAGTGTCATAATATGTGTTTTATAGTTATGTTTAATTCTTAATTGACCATTAGAATTAGAAATTGGCAGTTTATAATGGATTTAATTTGTGGTTTAATAAGAATTAATATAATTTAATTTCTAATCTTACTCTTTTCAACCCCTGTAGTACGTCACTGTATGCATCGTTACGTCATCGTCCTGATACGTCGAATGTCTATTCCAATATTTAAAAAAAGAAATTATTCGTTCCATTACACGCAATTTTTCATGTATCTTTTTTTCATTAATTTTAACACCTCTTTTAATACTTAATAATTTAACGTTTTCATACTATGAAAGCCAAGATCGGTTTGGCAATGATATTAATGGGTTTCCTTTGTCATATATTTTCTATAACATCAATATTATTCTTGCAATTTCCGTGTAGTTCTCTATATATATAACAGATCACATTGTTTCACAATCTCACCCTGTGTATGGTATTTTAACTTTACAACATTTTTTTCGGTAATTAACGTTATTTATATAACGTATTTTTGATATCGAATATTAATGACCAAAAAAATACAAATCATAATATTGAATAACGACTCAAAAACAAGAAATCGATTTTCTTTTCAGTAAAAACTTAGAGACATGATTTGGTACAAATAAAGGGTAATTTCTTTAAAACCTAGATATACGCATCCAGAGCATATTGTATGATAACGGTTATTTTAATCGTTACATAATTTGGCATCCATTAAATGAATGAAAAATATTCCTTTAAACAATTATAAGTTCCTACTTATCTTTTCTTTAAAAATAACCAACAAAAGTAACTATAATTATTCACGTAGACATTTAAATAAACACTGCAATTATTTGAATAATATTCTATGAAGTCACGCTTTTGTTTATGATCCGTAAGTTAGTTTTTTTAACTACTATTAAATGTTTATCCGTAAGACTTAGAAATATATCAACTACGTACTATAACGTATTATAAAAACGGCAACGTATATATTTATTATACAAGCGTATATATTTCATTTAAAAAAACTTCAATCACCATACGATTAGGTCTGTCCCCATGTGACTAACTAATTATTTAAAAAGTGTGTTATGCGTGCAATAAAATAACTAATAATTGTAATAAATACCTGATAATAGTTTCATAAAGAATTGTAGAAGCATTAATTCTAGATAGAATTTAATGTTACCTGGGTCGAAGGACCAAAGAATGATGAACGACAACCCTAACAACCACATGCCTTTGTAAGCAATAGAAAGTGACGTTGTGGTACAGGCAACGTGCAGTTAATGTAATGTGGCACTGTGATAGATAAAAACACCATTTGACTAAAATATCCCATAATTGTCTCGCTATACCTAAACTTTTCACTTTGTCCTTTATTTACTCTTATATAATAAATATGACTTTTTAACACCGCCACGAATTTTTTCATTCAAAGACATTGCTGGCTGATTTCATAGACAATCACACAGAGACAGACAGATAATATAACTTATTATTATAATACACCAATACCCGATCGTTTAATAATTACTTATAATTTGTACAAAATGAAATATATTTATTTAATAAAGCGTATTTAAAAGGATTCAATATCCTAAACACACAATATAATATATTAAATATAAGTTAATCACGATTTCATTACATCTATTTCATCTTAATACTGAAAATTAAATTAACATGTAAGGACTGTCATTATAACACATTCACAAAGGTGTAGTGGGTAGATGGGGATTCACCTGGGTCGCTAAACAATCGGACTATAGAGGCGCAATACTTGGAATAGGGTTGTTCTGTATTCTTTACGTTATGGATCAGCAAGCAATAAAAACTATGAAAAGTTTATAAAGCAGTTGTATTCTTCTATCGGACGATAAAAATGCTTTTGATTTTAATTCTCAATTGAATTTCTAACTATAGAAATAATGAAAAATCTGGATTAAAGACAGCCCTTTAGTTATTTTTTATTATAATATCTGTGCATTAAATTACAAAAAATGCAAAATAAAAAATATGTTAAGGATTTGATACCTATCATACGAACCCTTTTTCACTGTTCTTTTGTATAGATTTAAAAAGAAATTTAAACTGTAACAATATTATGTCGAATTAAATTTTACTAAAACAACGAAATTTTTTTAACACGATAAATAATAATTAGGTTTCTTCCCCCTCAAATATACATATTTTATACCTATTATTGCTTTCTACGTAATAGATAAATAAAAAAATTGATCAATATGATTAACGTATCCATGCCGCCTATTTATGTTATTTATTCCCTGTCCAGTAACATTTCCTTTTAAATGTAACTACAATATCACATTAGAATAATTCTGTAAAGATATTGTAAGAAAATAAATAAAAATAAATATTTCGTAATGTTACTGCAATGACCACTTAAGTTATCCAGTTAACAACCTCCATTTTCAAGTATAGTAGTTATCAATAACGTTATTGAAACTATTTATTGACAGCTGTTTAGAACAAAAAGTCGTAAGCTTGTACCGGCCCTATGTTTAGGTAAGGAACTTTTATACACCTAATACAGACATGCCTCCACATGTTGCAATTATACATAGAATTTATTATAAGATATGGACATTCGTTCTTAAATCGTTCTTCATATAATATTATTTGACCACACTTAATATCCATTACATTATTCACATACCTAATTTCCATCTAAATTTATACATCACGGTTTTGTAACTTGCTCAATATTCTGCTGAACAACCTTCCTCAAGTAATAGGTTAATTTTAACAATAATTTTAGACATCAATATTTTATTGCACCAAAAACGACGATATCCTACCTATGCCGCTTCGCATAGCGAGCGTTTTATAGAATATATATACTTATTAATAATAGAATTACATTGCATTTTTTAAATTGTACGCAGAATTGATCACATATATATTTTTTCTATTTTGAAACTATCTTGACCGATAATAAAAATCTAAAAGCAATTTACCAAACTCATTAATAAAATATATCTGATTTCTGATCCGTAAGTGCTAATTTTGTCATTAAATTGAAAAAGTAAAAAATACTGTTTCTCAAAAAGTAATAACGTACTTTGAATTAATTGTATCCCTTTAACGTTCATCGATTATCAAAACATTAAATTTAAAAACAATTCTGCAGTTCAATTTTCATATCAATTAAATTTATTTCACGGGACAGCGTCCCTGTCAAAATAGGATTTAGTATTGCCAATTATTTAATGCTTTAAAAAAAAATTATACACTGGATGTTGCTTGTTGACTGCTGTGATCTGATATGATGGAGTTCAGATCAGATTCACGAAGCGTCGGTGGAGTCCCGAACGGAAAGTCCTGAAATTATTGATACTTCAATTAGTAATTAGTAACAAATCGTAACTCATATACAGTAGTAACAATATGTTATTTTACCAGTCAACCTTAAAATGTTAGGTATACGGTGTGTGCACTACAAATACAAAATCAAAGATCTTTTTAAGCTGCCACTGTTAATCCTTGTAAAATAATAAATTTGACTGTTTGTAGATATATGCACACACGTAGAAACGCCTAAAACTTATTTGAATAAAATTTGTTGAGTACTTACACAGTTTATTATCTGGATGGGTTATACATCGGAACCGAATCGAGGGCACACCTAATACCTAAGCGTTTGTCAGGATTAAAAGTATCTCAGGTATTAATTAAGGTATTTTAAAGTATACACACCCGCGAGGGCAGGGTGCGGGGTGCGGGCGGGGCGGGGGGAGGCGCGCGGGGCGCCCGCGGCGACGCGCACTCGGCGCACTCCGCGCCGCCCGCGCTGCGCGTCGAGCGCCGCGAGCACGGCTCCGGCATGCACCTGGGACATCACACGATCGATTTAATAGGTCAATTCTTCCCTTCTCCTTTAGCGAGAGACAGAGGATATTAAAAGAAAAAGATATCTCGTCTAAGTACTTAACTCAACTGACCCCATCTTTTTAAGCTAAAATTTAGGAATTTCTAAAGTCAACGTTAAAAAGAATCATGATACTTACGCATGGTGTACTATGTGAGCACAGGGAAGAGACGCCAGTGGCTCCGGTCTATCGGCCAAAGGCTCCCTACATCTGGCACAGGCCGGAGTTGCCAAGGCCGCTGCGGCTCTTTTCTGTCTGGCAGCTGCTTCGTTATCACCGAGACCTGTGTAGATATCGGCGAGGCGGAGGTAGACGCGTCGGACTAACATCTGTGAAGGATAAATTCTGCTTTAATGTATCTGATGAATCTGTAGAAGGTAATCTTAATTTGTTTACTGGGGAGAGGCATCTAGTTCTCGGATAATCTTTTAAAGCTCAAAAGGCGGTATTATTTATCTTTTAAGTTGCAGGTGGACGTGGGCAGCGGTATTCACTTACCACCAGGTGCCATGCATGCTCTTTTGCCCCCTATGCCATTAAAAGTAAAAGAGTCTGGAGACTAATTAAAACACTTCCATGAATAAAAACTGTATAACTTTCCTGAAACGCAATAATAATTAACCTTATGTAATAAATGCGAAAGTGACCTTTTAGTTTTCAGGTTTTAAGTACTTAATCGATCATTATGAAATTTTGGATATGTATTATCTTATCAAAATAAACAAATGTTTTCAGAGGTGCAAAAAACCTAAAAAGGGTATTCAGTCCATCAACAGTACTTTTACCGAGGGATAAAAAAACATTTCATGAACGAAAAAAGTGCTCAGTTTTCAGGATTACCTTAGCACCAACAGTATTAGCTACTTCCAGCAATCTGGTGTTAAATTCCAGCGGTCTACAGTTGCAAATCCTGCCTTGTAAGCGTAACGCTTCCAAACACCGCGCCGCTCCATCCATAGCTTCCATCTGAGCTAGACGGTCACCAAGAGCTTGGCCAGCACCCATTGCAACTTCGTAGTGTCTGCAAAGTAAATAGTCATCATCATCTTCGTGGTTTTCTCCTAATTTTACTTGAGATCGGCGCCAACACTTGTGTATCATTGCAAGGAGTAATGGCTAGTTTTTTTTATGTCCGGGACGCTATGCTGCCTAATACTGTAACGCTGCCTGAATGTGACCGTTTTCAGGTTCCTACTATCTAAAGGAAGAAGGAGAGTGGGTAGGTCCCCCACAAGGTGGTCCGACAACCTGAAGAAGGTCGAGGGAAACCGTTGAATGCGGGCAGCACAGGACCAGTTGTAGCGACCCTAAGGGGAGGCCTATATCCAGAAGTGGACGTCTTTAGGTTGAGAAGAAGAAGACGAATGATAAAATTCACATGACCAGTTCACATGCAATTATTACATCATCATCATAATTAACAGCCTTCCTTCTCTCTGCAGTGCTGTTGTTCTGCATAGTTATCTCCCTTAGTCGGCTCTTACGACACCCATGGGATAAATAGGGGTGGTGACACTGTATTCTTAATCCGTCACCACACGGACAGCAATTATTACATTCACATGTAATAATTTCCTTCCCATGTAATCGCTTTCAGACAGGAGAAACGATAACTGGGGTAACATAATCTGATATTCTAACTGAGTAAGGGATACTGCCAGTTTTGGATTAGGAACAGGATTACCACTGTAGTAGCTCGAATAGGTCACGTACACGAGTAATTCAAATTTTTTGCGTCTCCTATTACTAGTTTACACCACGAACCATACGGATGGTTCGTGTTGTGATCTTGTGACTGGAGACACAAAAAAAGTAAATAAAATAAAATGATATTACACACACACTGGTGGTACACTGGAAAGACTTTCATTTAAAAGAAAGAGTTTTATGCAATTACGGTCACTAAGGTATGATTAATAACGATTTTGCATTTTACAACGAGAGCAATAGTACTAATTAGAGTACAAAGTACCTGAGCGCCTTCCCCACGTCGCATTTCCGCCTGTAGACATCGCCCGCGATGCGCACGGCGCGAGCGTAGCAACCTTGATCTTCTGCCACAGAGGCTAGGCGTAATGCTTCCTAGAATATTACGAAAACTTAGATGAACTTTGAGCCTTTGCACCGAGTCTGCGACTGGTACTCCTAACGAGGGCGCTCAGTGCCCGGCGTAGAAGTGGTACTATATTACAATTTTAGCCAGCATTTGTAGTTAGGTGTGTCGCAGGGTTCATTGTAACATATCTTTGACGATACCATTATGGCGGGATGTAGGAGGAATGTTAGCTGACTTCGAATTTATCACAACATTAGATAAAGTAGTCAAAGGAAAGATTTACTAACTATGTAGCTTCGATGTCCATCATGCTGTTCTATACGTCTCTAAATATGCTACCGCTCTTTAAAGTTCGTAGTCTTAAGTGCATTAAACTAACGATGATATAGTTCAGAGGTGTATTATGATTCCAGATTACTGTTTATTTTGAGTAGAAGACTATGACGAAAGTATAATCGATAGCAGTTTGAGGTGACGATGACGATATGAGGTGAGGTGATCGTGGACTAAATTTTTTTTCTTCAGTTCGTGTTATGGCAAATCAGAGTCAGTGAGATCGGGCAAGGCTGCAGGCTAGGAGCAGGTCGCTTACGTTACAGTAGTCGTGCGCGTCGCCCAGCTCGCCGCGCGCGCGCAGGGCGGCGGCCATCTGCAGCAGCGCGGAGCGGTGGTGGCGCGTGTTGAGGTCGGCGGAGCGCGGGCCGCGGCCCAGGTCGCACGCGCGCGCCGCGCACGCCACCGCGCGCTCCGTGTCGCGCAGCCGCCGCCACAGCTCCGACAGCCCCACGTACACCTGCCACACACAGCTACACGCTCACTCCGCTTCCTATATCATGATCAGTGGGCCGCCTATTGATCGTTTAATTCTAACCATTCATTTTTGATAATATTCCGCGACAATTTAGAGAAACTTGGGTCGTTTTTGCATGGGTCAAATTTACTGAATTTACTTAAAGTTTGGCCAGTTATGATTAGTTTTTAAAGAAGTTTAAAAATTAAAATCAAAATCGGGATAAAGTAACTATAGCTACGTTAATAAGTTTTTTTCGAGTCAAATAAGTTTAGAATTCAAACAACTTTCATGCCACAAAATGAAATTTATGTTCTGTACTTGTTGTATGGAAGTTGTTCTTTTTAAAATAAAAATAACAACTTCCATACAAAAAGTGGACATCTCCTTTTGGTAAAATATTATATAAACTTCACTAACACCAACCTGCAAAAGCAGTGTATTATCATTCTGTGCTTGTGCTACGGCGAGAGCCTTCTGGAACCCGTCCATTGCTTTAGAGAAGGCTCCCATCTCTAAGCTGACATGTGCCACAGTCAAATGCACGCAACCAGCGGTCGAACCTCCACCGCAGTCATTGTAGAGAGCTTGGCGAGCGTACGAGAGGGCCCTGGAAGAGAGAGAGATAATGAACTTTCTCAATAAGTTAACAATTTAAAAAAAAGACAACACCCGCATCAATACAAAAAAATAAGATTCAAGTGTCTGTTTGTAATGTCAAAATAATAGGTTTTTTTCATGCTCACACGGTTATTTGCACGGTACCCATACTTAAAAACCAGATTTATTTTTGTCTATCTGTTTGTCTGTCTGTTTTTTCCGGGTAATCTTCAAAACGGCTTAACCGATTTCGATAATATTTTACTACCAGGTAGCTGTCTCTATAAGGAGTAACTTAGGCTATTTTTCCTCTCAGAAAAATCCTTTAAAATTTTGGCCGGTCCGGGAATCAAACCCACTAAGGCAACGCTTTTCAAATTCCACGCGAACGAAGTCGTGGGTACCAGCTAGTTAAGAATATATCAGACTTCACAAACATACATGAAACGGCCACAATGAACAGCCAGATTCAAAACAAAAAAAAAAAAAAAATAGGATTGAAATATAAGTAAATTAGAGTACATCCTTACACCATGATTATTTTTATACCTTTCCAGTCCTCCCAGGGTCTGATGAGCTCTGGCCAAGTTGAGGTAAGCTTCAGCTCTCATTGGCGCGGAATCCAACTCTTCAGATATACTCAGCTGACTGTTTGCAAACTCCAAAGATTCCCTGTAAAAAGTGAAAATGTCGTTTTGGAAGAGTATTCTTTAGATCTTCCATTATAATTGCCGAATCTTCCAATCATGCTAACTGATAATGGTTGGAGGATAACCGGTTATAGTCGCTTGGTTATTAAGGAAGACCCTGGCTTTTGAGTAACTGTGAGACTAATTTTAGTTTAGCGATTTTTTCATAGAAGAGGTTTCAAACGAGTAGACGGGTGGCATCGTTCATGGACACCTGCACCTCAAGATACATAAAGAATTATAAGGGTTTGTAAACTTAATCACTAGGTGAAAGCAACGAAATAATAGCCTAAAACCAGTTTTCCGGTCTTTTCGACCCCTACTTATCCCGTGGGTGTAGTAAGAGCTGTTTAAGGGAGCAAACTACGCAGGACAACAACACTGCAAAGGGAAGGAAACTTGAAACAAATACTATACCAACCCGTCTGGCCAGTGTGGTATTGTAGGCCAAAACCACCGTTCTAAGGAGAGGCATATGCCTAGCAGTGGACTATTAAAGGCTGTTGATATTTGCCGAAGCATGGCTTTCCCACGGTAGAGAGACGGAAGGAAATACACGTTTAATGAAGATCCCCGTGGCGCCGTTACTACATCTACACTACGCCATCTAGTTTCAAACAAAGCAGAGCTTGTACTATGAAAGTTAGATTGACTGACAGAATACTTATATACTTTTTTTTGAAATACATACATATTATACATAGAAAACACCCAAACTGAAATATTTGCAGATCATATAAACATTTGCTTTGACCCGGGAATGGAACGATCGAGACCTCAGCACACCAGCCGCACACTACTGCACCGAGGCACTAGCGAACAGTATTTTACGAGTTTTGCCGTGAAATATAGATGTAAATAAATACGCAAAAAGAATGTGTGTTAGGAAATAGTAAATTTTACTCTTGTGTTGAATAAGACTACATAGTTTATGAATGTTTATTTAAAAGAGTCAATTTCCATTGAGTTAAACTCCTCAAGTATTGTAAACACTTTTGGCGTATTACCAAACGCAATCGTGCCCGAACAGTGCAAAATATCTGTGGCTAACTCTACAAATGTACAAATGTATATATTTAAGTATTTACTTTCTTATTTATTTAGTTATTTATTTATTAATTCTTTCCTTATGTGTGGTGGGCGTACATTAACATATTTTCGTAATCTTTAAGTAACTTACAACAACTTGAATCTTATCTGTGTCTACATAAGTGTCTTTTAACAGTGTCTTTAGTTGAAAACATTTTGAATAAAGAGACAACTGACATTCAGTTTTGGTTAGTTTAAAAACCGTAATAAAGGTAAGTCAGTGTGTGTGTGTGTGTGTGTGTGTGTGTGTTTGTGTGTGTGTGTGTGTGTGTGTGTGAGAGAGAGAGAGAGAGAGAGAGAGAGAGAGAGAGAGAGAGAGAGAGAGAGAGAGAGGGTGAGAGAGAGAGAGAGAGAGAGAGAATAATAACAACACGTAGAACAGAGAAAGCATAACTGCGAAATTTAAACTTGCCTATAATTAGCAACAAACTCTGTGTCCAGTGTAGTCCAAGTTACAATTTTATTGACACTTTGCCAAACTACCAACCGTAGTAAATGTAGATTTATTATAATGTTGCGTTTACATTAGAACCGACACGGAAGTTTTCATACTATATTACAAATTTGTCTTTTTATACAAGAAGGTTAAACACATAGAACTGCGTTACGTACACATTTTCCTGTAAATATTACTTGTAATAAGATTGTTTATTAATAAATTTGTGTCTTAATCTCGTACAACAAATGTTTCGTCTGTAGACATAGACTAACGACTTTATTTTCTTTACACAAAATTAAATGTTGAGTATGTTTACTTTACATAATCTATCTTTAAAACTATTAAATTACGAATAAACGGGCTTATTAATCGTTTATATTAACTTCCCTTTTGAGCCTTAACACCGTCAATTATCACCAATTATCATCGTTTATTGCACTTTCAATTTATTGTAAATACTGATCACTTTTCTTTTTTGGGCTCTATTGTATCATAAAACTATTATTTACTTAGTTGAAAATACGCATGCCGTGGTCTCCTGTAATTGAAGGAGTACACATACCAATACCCGTGTGAAATGTATTTTTGATATTTTGTGTACATCCTTTGTTGGTGGTACTTAAATAAAGAAAAAAAAAAAAAAAAAAACTACGTGTGTTTTAAGCTCTCTGATTTATTTGAAATATTAGGTACTAGCTGTATCCGTCATGTGTTGCAATGCCACGTAAAGTATAAAGAAATAAAAAAACAAAATTATTTAAATGTACATTTTTGATCAATAATTTTTGATCATAGAGGACAAACTTCGTTTCTTTTATAAATACTAGATCATCAGGCTAAATGAAATATATTATTACAAAATTTGATTGTTTTTCCGTAGCGAACAATGATATTATATACAAACCAGCGGTAGATACGCCGATAGATAGGCACAAAACGCGTAGGTCCTAATTAGGACCACTGCGAGCGAGCGCACTTACTATTTAATTCGAGAAAATTGATAAAATGCCTTTCTGTGTTTACCAAAAGTGCACAAATTACGACAAAAAGTAAATAAAGGAATATCATGGCACAGGTAAGTGTATGTTTTGTTCTAAAATGCATTAATAGATGTACTCGTATTGTACGGTTAGATACGGCACAAATATTTTGTGCGTGCAGTATGAATTTAACGTATCTTCCTTAAAATATTATTGGTAGTGAATAGAAAATACATTTAGGCTATGTTCCTAGCTAGCCAGTGCCTCTGTACTTGACGCCACAAATGACTTAAGTTAGAACTCTGTAGATTAAGCTCGCTTTTGTACTAAATGTTGTTATTTGCCATCCTGCACTTGATACGTTATTTTCATTTTGTGTACAATCTATACAAATAAATAAAATTGAAGGGTCTGTTTGTAATGTCAATATATTAGGGTTTTTTCAAGCTCACACGGTTATTTGCAATGCTATATGCAAAATCAGTTTAATATTTTATTGTCTGTTGTTATCTGTCTCTCTGTTTGTACCGGATAATCTTCTAAACGGCTGGACCGATTTTGATTATATTTTATAACCAGGTAGCTGTCTATAAAAGAGAAGGAGTATCTTAGACTATTTTTCTTCATAGAAAAACCCTTTAAAATTTGGTCCGGTTCGGGAATTGAACCCACTCAGGTAGCGCTTTTTAAAATTCCACACGAACTGTTACATCCCTAATTTTGATGATATTGCATAGGGATGCAATACAATATTGCTGACTTGCAATAATAGCAAAATGACGTAAATTCAACATTGCAGATCAGCAATAAATACATTATAAATACCAATCCTTTTCTTAAATTAGTTAGTAATTATTCTCTAGTGTTGATATAATTTGTGGTCTCTAACTACTCCCCAACCTTGGTTGGTTTTCAGCAAGGAATTCTAGAGCAATAATATACTCCGGGTCTATTCTGCCCTTCGCTGGGTGTTATATAAGCTGGTAAAGGATATAACTATAAAAACTTTACGTTACCTATACTTCCCGAAGTCCATGTGCGCCTGGTAAAGATGCCCCAAGAGAGCAAACTTGTCACTTCTGTGCCTCACCCCACGTAACGCCGACAGCCAAATCTTGACTGCTAACCGTTGCTCGTTCTGGCCGTAGAGGCGGACTCCTCGCTCGATCTTAAATGAATAACAATTCCCCTAGAAATCTGTCATTGATTAAATTGGCCTCCTTTCATTTTCATCTGCCTGTCCGTTTCTCAATATTATGTGGGGTCGACCTAATTTCTAAATTTGTAGAAGTTGATTTGGGAAACGAACAGTGCTAATGAGCTAGGGCAAGGTGGAGAAAATGGGACTAAAAAACCCGCTTTAAGGAAGTCTTTAGAAAATTTTGAGCAGATATTACCTTTCTTCTGGCGAGGTACTGGTCGAGCCTAGAGCGGCAGGCGCGGAAGCAGTCGAGGAGGCCTGCAGCGGGCGGGCGGTGGTCGGGCCCGAAGCGGGCGCCCCACCGCAGCGCCCCGTTGCGGCCGTCCCCGCCGCGGAACTCCTCGGAGAACGGGTATACTTCTACAATAGATCAAATTTCAATCAGTGTTACCAACTAAAATGTTTTCAAATTGAAGGGTACGAATTTACTTTCTTCTCTTACCTAGATTAGAGTATACAAGTATATTTTTCAGTAGCCTGATACTATCTCTGCCTATTTTGGGATCCGAAACAGCGGGTTAGTAAGATGAGTCACTATGTTTGAGATGTATAAATTTATTAATATTAGTCCTCTTATCTTGGTCCGTGTGGTGACGGATTAAGAATACAGAGTGTCACTACCCCTATTTATCCCGTGGGTGCCGTAAGAGCCGACTAAGGGGAAAAACTACGCAGGACAACAGCACTGCAGAGAGAAGGAAAATTTGACACAAACCCTTTTTTTTTTTTTTTTTTTTAACGTGTGGAAATCCCCTCGGACCGTCACCCCTCCGGGGTTTGCGGCGGGGTGGTGTGTCGGACTCGGACCGACTAAAACCACACGGTGTGCCACTCTGCGCCTGTAACAGGAGGGATCCGGGAACAGCTGTTGTTAAGACATCCGGACCCCTCCTAGCGCCAGCCCGCTCCTGGTGCGGGCTCCGTCTCGATGTGGATGTTCCTCTCTTTAGGCGACGTCCGGCACACGCGGACGCCGCCCCCTCGCGGCTGGCCAACTAATGCGGGTGGAGGGGAAACCCACCCCGTCCACCCGCGGCCACACTCAGGGCGGCATGAGGCTGTGATAGGCGGGCCTCCGCCGCCCGGTTCGCCGGCGGCGGATCGGGTCCGAGTGGAGGTCGTCCTCCCGGGCCCTCTCCGCCGCCTCCTTCCGCGAGATTACTACCTCGCAGAAGGTTGCGACCGCGGTAAAACAACTGTCGCTACCGGCCATGGAGCGTACTACGGCCGGTAGCGAGAGATCCACTCCGATGACTGCAGTGAGGGCCCGGCGCTGCGCCGCGCGAAAGCGGCCAGCCCCCACGTCGACCTCCTCGGTCGGAGCCTGAGGAGACAGCCACGAGTGAATTATGGCTGCCTCCTCTAGTAGGTCCCGGTTCAGCCTGGCAACAGCCCACCGCGGAAAGCGGGATAAACGCCGCGCCACGTGACCCCTACTGGAGTCCTGGGTCCGGGAGAGCTCAAATCGGATATACAGGTGATCCGAGAGCGTCTCAACCTCTTCCAGGACACACCAGTTCCTTACTCGTGCGGCGAGGGACAGGGGTAGCGAACGAAAGGTCCACTATCGACCCCCCCTGCTGTCGCACGCACGTGTTGGTGGAGCCTCTGTTGAGAAGCCAGAGGCCCACCGAGGCCGCCCACTCCTCTACGGCCTCGCCCCTGGCGTCCGTCCTGGGGGAACCCCACGCAATGGACTTTGCGTTGAAGTCCCCCAGCACAAGGACGTGCCCAGACGCTAGTCGCCGTATCGAGGTCTCCAAGTTGGTCAGGAAAACCTCGAAGTCGTTCAAACTCCGGTTGGGGGAGAAATAGACACCATATATGGTGATCCCCCCCCACTCGACGGCAACATATCCAGTGCCCTTGTCTCTTAGCGACAAGGGCGGGGAATGAGCCGTCGTGGAACCGACGACTGCCACGGAGCCGTCCCAGTCACCCATCCAGTTTGGACGGGGAGGGACAGAATAGGGCTCCGCGACTACGGCAACACCTATCGACCACTGTGCCATGGTTTGCAGGAAGAGATCCTGCGCCGCGGCACAGTGGTTCAGGTTCGTCTGGACCAGGAGGTTGGAGACTTGATCCATTACTGGATCGTCTCTACAACCTCCTCCATGGGCGACGACGTCGACGCACGAACTACGTCGGAGGCAGCCTGGGTCGACTGGCTAGCCCCCGATGCTTGCTGAGAGATGCGGGGAGGCTTGCAGCCCCCCTGCCCCATCTGGTGATTGGCGGGCTTGTTACCCGCCGCACACACCGGGCAGTGAGGGGCGGCAGAGCATTCCACCGCCACATGCCCCGGTCGACCACAGCGGAAACAAAGTCCGCTGCAGTCGAAGCAGCTTTGGCACTTGACGCGCGTGTGCCCCGATGCTAGGCATTTGTAACATCTCATCGGTCTCGCCGCCAGGACTGTGATCCTGGCGCTCACGAAACCGACGAGCAGCCTGCCGGCGTCGGCCAATACTTTGGCCGACGCTACGGGACAGCTGACCCACACGGCGCCAAGCCCTCCTGGACCGGGGCGGATGGTGCCGACCCTGACGTTGTCCGCGCTGCACCCCGTCTTCTCCCGGATTACAGCGCGGACATCTTCGGCCGTCACAGAGTCGTCCAGGCCCGAGATGCGCAGCTCCGCGCACTTGGTAGGCCTGGCGATCTTGACACCATCTGTGGTCGCGAATAGACCCCGCAGCCTCTCAGCGAAAGTGTCCGCCGTCTTGGCGCCTTCAGCCCCTGGGAACTCGAGAACTCGAGCTCCCGTTTGGGCGAGGCGCATCTTCACCCCCGCCGTCCCAAAGTCGTTGGCGAGGCTGTCCCGGGCCTTTTTGAAGACGGCCGCGTAGGACAGCCCGCCGTCCGCCGCCTCCGGGGACACGGTCACCACTACAGCCGCGGTTTTGGGCGGCTGCAGCTTCCGCGGCCTCTTTGTGGAGGCCGTTGCCACCGGTGGCGAAGGCTGGGCTTGGGCTGCTTTTTTGGCAGCCTTTTTGGCCCGCCTTCGGGACTTCTTGGAGCCCCTCGCCTCCTGCCAACCCTCGTTGGAGGGGGCAGGTGCGGAGGGGCCCGGCAGGGGTGTCGGAGTGGGGAGCGGAGGGAATGCCACTCCGCTCCTCGGCGCCGTTTTAGGCCCCGTCTTGGCCGGCGCCTGGGGATGTGCCTTGGCCGGCGCCTTAGCCGGTGCCTTGGCCGGCGCCTGGGCCGGTGCCTTGGCCCCCCTCCTCGGCTTTTGGGGAGCCGATGGAGTCGGGGCAGACGCCGCCGCCGCGTAGGAGACGCGGCCTCCCACTACGGGGAGCGCGGTCGGAGCGGCGGCCTTAGGCCGCTGTGCCGACGCGAGCGGGGGGCGCATAATCGGCGCAGGAGGCAGTCTCGCCTCCAGGCCAGCCAGGCGTCCGTCCAGCATATTCCCAACTGCGATGAGGATTTCTCGCAGTTGGGAGTCAAATGCCCCTGAGTTGGTGGTAGGGGCAGGCTGGGACGCGGACGGGGCTTCCCGCTCGGGGAGGTTCGCCTGGAAGCGGGCGAACTGAGCGCTCAGCTCGTTCACCCGCTCCGTCAGCTTCTCGTTGGCCACCTGCAGGCGAGAGACGTCGCCCGCTAGGCCCTCCACGACCTCCGACAAAGCGGAGGAGGAGTCCTTAAGGGCCCTCACAAACGAGCCCTTAAGGTTCACGGATTTGGTGGCCACCTTTTCGATGACGGCCACCGCCGCTTTCGCCCTCTCCTGCACGGACACGGGAGCCTGGGGGGCATTTCCCCCCACCGGCTCCCGAACCTTGAGCAGGAGATCCGCGATCTCCTCCTCCGCTACGGCCTCGCCGTCCACCCGTACGTTCCTGTACGACTCCGCGTTGGAGAACGCGGAGCCTGACGGGATCGCGACCGAGGCCGGTTTGCGCGCCCTCCCTCGGCGGCTGCTTGCCACCTTTGGTGGCATCATTTCGCCGGACGTGTCGGTTTCCACGTCCCCTGAGCGTCCGCGTTTCCGGCTGTCGCTCCGCTCCGCTTCCATGGCCTCCGCGCCATCCGATGAAGCGGCGGATCCGGAACGCAGCCGATCCGATGCTCTTCGGCTCCCAGTGACCAGAGTCAGACTGACCTCTGGGAGCCCCATCGAGATAGGCGTTCCCGACACCATCTCGCCCTCAGTGGACGACCCATCCGCTCCACTATTCCTCTTCACTTTTGCACCCTTCGTTTCAGAGTCCGTTTTGCTTGCCTGTTTTCTTTGTATATTTGTTTCCGTTCGTTTTTTGTTTTGGTTAGACTTTATGTGTTCCATGATAAATCCCACGAGTGGGGGAGAACTAAAGGTCCACCCGGGCAGAGATCCCCCATTACCCGGGCAAGCGTAAGTTTTTAACCCAACCGAGGGGTCCGCAGGTACCTCGGCTTGGAGTGCGCTCGCGACTGAACTTCCCATCAGCCATGCATCCCCTGGCCACGCACCAGAACACGGGATTCGGGGAATTTTTTAGAGAGGTTATCTTCCTCGCGGTCCGGGCGGTTAAGCCAAGACCCTCGTCCCCAATCAGAGCCGCGAGACTTAACCACAGCGCTCTTCTCGGGATTACGATATGCCGACGGTTGACAGGGAGACTACGTCCCCCTGCCTGCTCGGTGGTAGTGTGAGTACACGCCGAGCCCGTCCTCCTTTCTCCACCGCTATCAGCGGAGAAAACTGTGGCCCCTACAGGGCCCCGCCATCAGGTTTTTTACCGAGGTTTCCTCCTCCATGCTCCGAAGAGCGAAGAGCCAGCAGGGCAACCGGCAGACACGCCCACCCTGCTGGACCAGGCCTTGCCCGAGAGCCGATGAACGGCTGCCTCTTCTGCTAGAATATTGGCCGCTGGCGATAATCCTCTCCTCCAAGAGGACAAGGAGGAAACAGTACCATCGCCAGCGTTTCCAGGGTGCACCACGGGGAGGTTTTCTAGCCAGCACCCCAAACCCTATACCAACCCGTCTAGCCAGCGTGGTATAGTAGGCCAAAACCTCCTTTCTAAGGAGAGGCTTAGGTCCAGCAGTGGACTTTTAAGGGCTGTTGATGATATGATTAGTTCATAGTTCATAGTTCATTTATTCACAAACAATAATATAATTGTGTTTGAATGTATAACAATTCGCCGTAATACAAAAAATATTTAAAAATTAAAACAAAAATATAAATAACATAATAATCAAAAAACAAATAAATTTGATAGATTTTACAATATGTCATGCAGAATACAAAAAAAAAAAACGATAAATTATATTAAGGCATTTCATGATTCAAGAATATTATTCACAATATTTATTATTATTACATAAGTTATTAAGTATTTAATTGCATATATTTTGATTGATAAATTCATTGATGGAATAATAGTTATTTTCCAACAGGAAGGCTCCAAGTTTTTGTTTAAATAAAGAAGTCCTATAAATTACGCTTTTTATGCTTTCCGGTAAACAGTTAAAAAGTTTAATGGATTGATACTGAACACAGTGCCGAGCTATATTCATTCTAGGGTTTATTGTATGTTGAATATGTTTCCTCCGCGTGCTCTCTCTAACTAACCTCTCTTCGTGGGTTTCAACCTCGTGCATATATTTGGATAAGTAACACAATGTTGTCAATATATACAAACAAGGCACCGTCAATAGTCCAAGACTTTTAAAATGTTCTCGACATGATTCTATTTGGGGAATGCGGACTATAGTTCTTATAGCTCTTTTTTGTAAAATGAACGCCCTCTCTATATTATAAGCGTAACTATTTCCCCACAGTTGTATACTATATCTGAACTTTGACTCTATTAGCGCATGGTAAACGGATTTTAGGATATTTATTTCTACTACTTCTCGAAGGCTCCTAATTGCATAGCATGCTGAAGAGATTGAGGTGTCAATAGATTTTATCTCTTCTTTCCAATTGAGCAATGCATCAATATGAACCCCCAAGAATTTAACAGAATTCACGAATTCTAATCTCTCTCCATTAATCATAACGTCTAATCTATCGTTATTACTAGCTGTCGATTTAAATAAGATTAGGTTTGTCTTTTTTGTGTTAACTATAAGCTTGTTAACTGCAAACCAATCTTGAAAAGTTTCTAGTGCGCCAATTATTTTTACATTTAAGGAACTTAGGTTACTTGCACTAATCACAGCGTTTGTATCATCTGCAAAAACCGTGAGTTTAACATCTGGCTTTTTTACGCTCAAATAGGATAGTAAGTCATTTGTAAAAAGTGTAAACAAAATAGGCCCTAATATGGAACCTTGCGGTACGCCCTTCCTGACATTTAAAAGTTGTGATCGGTGTACTTCTTGACAATTGTTTTCTCCTACCTCCTTAATTTCTACATAAAACTTTCTATTTTTTAAATATGATTTAAATAACTTTAAAACATTGCCCCTTATTCCATAATGTTCCATTTTAATGAAAAGCAGTTCATAATCCACTGTGTCAAAAGCGGAACTCAAATCCAGAAAGATCCCAGCCACCTTGACTTTTTTGTTAATATTTTCTATGACATCATTAATTAAGGTATTGATAGCATCTGTCGTACCGATACTTTTTTGATATCCAAATTGTCGCCGATTTAAAACTATGTTATTATTCAGATGGCTAGTGAGACGGCTTTTAATTAGCTTTTCAAAAAATTTCGAGAGTGTAGGTAACACAGAAATCGGTCTGTAATTTTTAGGGTCGGTTTGTAAGCCCTTTTTGTACAATGGTATAATCTTTGCTATTTTCCATTGTTCTGGGAAGATGCTATTTTCAAAGCATTTATTATAAAAATGAGACAGAGGTAAAGCTAAGATCGCGATATGCTCCTTTACTACCGATATTGGCAATTCATCAAAGCCACAAGAATTTTTATTCGGCATATCATTCACAATCTTTATGACTTCATCAGGTGTAACAGCAGTTAACGTCATCTCATTAGTTACCTTATCAGAGCCTTGTTGAAGGTAAAATCTTGCCTGATTTTGATTACTATTTTCTGACGTGGGTGTATAATTAAATTGCCTGGCGAATAAGTTTGCCAATTCTTTAGGATTGTCAACTATTTTCTCATTGGTTTTTATAATTAGCTTTTTCATAACTTTATTATTATTTTTATTTCTATGTCGATTTACAACTTGCCATATTTGTTTACTGTTATTTTTGGCGTTATTTATTTGTTTTGATACCGCATTTCGCTTAGCATTTCTCACGACCTTCCTAAATAGTTTCACATAATTATTTTTATATGAAATTAAACTACTATCAAGATTATTACCACTATTTACACACAAGAATCTTTTCATCTTACTTGAAATTTTTATACCTTTAGTAGTCCAGTTTATGTTCATGTTATTTTTGTTAAGCATTATATTACGTCTTCTCTTTCTAAAAGTAACCTGGAACGCATTATTTATTTTATTTATGAACGTATTAATTCCCATTTTAGTCCATTCATTATTCAAAATTAAATATTTAAATTTGTCATGGTTTTTTTTACAAAAAAAACGCTTTTCTATTATAATACTTGTTTTTCTTAAGAAGCTAGTATTTTTAAGAATTAACTCACAAAACAAGCCCGCATGGCCGTCACCCAACCCATTAAAATCTGTGTCTACTTTCTTAATACATTGCTGGTCTAGATTTGTAATGAAATTGTCTATACACGAGCTTGAATTCCCGCGAGCGAAAGTAACACTATTAACGAGAGTCCTAAAGTTATAGCACCGTAGAAGACTTGAAAATTCGACGTATCTTTTGCTATCGGACAAGAAATTTATATTAAAATCACCACAAATTAAGCACTTCCTGTTGAAAAAATATTCCAACATTTTTTCAAAGTTTTGTATAAAAATTGATTTGATTGTGTACATACAGTACAGTAGTAGACATTTTGTTTATGGTCACAACCATTAATGAGAATATTTTGAAGAAGTCTCTTCTCACTGGAACTCTTTAGGAAGGAAGGAAGCCATCAGTCACGCTTATATAGTGGGTTGAATCTCAGCACAGGACACTTTGACAAATTACTGTTCTTAGACTGGTGTTCGTGTCATAAATGCGAATAAAGTACCCCATGACACAGGATATGTTCTTAGTGCTGGAGTTGTCTTAAAAAAGCGAGTAGTAGCACGCACGGTACCTTGTGGCTCATCGAGATGGTGTCTCGATGGGTCAGGCGAACTGAGAAGTCGTGTTGCTGACAACTGATGCGCCGGTACCCCGCTGTAACAAATATTGTGACGTCATTTTTTGAAATAAAGATATGTAGTTATCTTCAAGGAAAAACTATCTTCGTTTAAATTGCTAAAACAGTTCGATTGCATTAAAACCCTAGTGCAAACTGACGTCTGTGTTGTAAGAAAATGAAGGTTTCACACCAAGTCAACTTTCGGTTGTTGTGGCGAAGCTCGGGGAAGGCCTATGTCCAGCAGTGGACTTCTTTCGGCTGCGATGATGCCACTAAGTCATGACGCCCAAACAAGTCGCAAGTCGTTTGCTAGTTTACTTCTGTAGTGCTGTCTCTAAAGTTACTGTCATTTGTTCAAGACCCTATATTATTTTATTACTTTTCTTTATTGTTGTCCTCGCTTTAATATCCTTTTGGCAATTTAATTTATTTCTTTAAAAGTTTTTATTGGGGTAAGAACAATCAGAAAGTTTCTTTTTATGACCAAGCACCCATAAAAGAACTCACAAACTAAACTTATATTAGTTGTAGTAGACAATTACCTTATTATATGACTAGCTATTGCCCGCAGATTCGCTCGTCTGATTATTTCTTATTTAGTGTTTTTAACTTTAAAAATGACGAACTTTTATACAACCGTTCATCAATTATATCACCTCTTTAAGGGTGAAATTACTAAAAATCCTTTCTTAGTTGATTCTTGCAAGATAAAAAGCACCAGATGCCTAAATTTCAAGTTATAAGCCCCAGCGGTTTAGACTCTGTGTTGATTAATCAGGCAGTTAGCCCATATAATTTTATATGTATAGATAAGTATATGCAAAGATGATGCCATGTTTTTTTTAAATTTCATACCTGGAAATCGGTGCAAAACTTACCCGAGGAAGTCGCGCGACTCTATTGAGTCCCATGACATGTTCCGCGGGTGAAGGCGACAACGTCACCTGGCGGTTGGGTGCATAGCGCCCTCTCGCTTTGACACCGCTTTACCCTGTGGGAATATTAAAACATTTATATGTAGATCAGTACATATTACAGCACAGATAGAATGTGTAAATGTAATAGGATTGTCTTTTATATACACCAGTTTCAATTTCTTAGTTGGTCTAGTGGTTAGTGACCCTGACTGCTAAACCAGAGGTAGTGGACTTGATTCCCAACCAGGAAGGGTTTGAGACTGTTATAACCTACACATCTGGCCAGCAATAAAGCAAAAACCTCCTTTCTAAGGAGATGCCTATGTCCAGCAGGTGACTATTATAGGCTGTTGATGATGAATAAGCTACATAACCTAAAACAATCCAAAGACCCTTTGATAGAATTTGCTACAGGCTCCGCGCTGGCTTTTTGTGTGGTCGTTCTTATACCTCCTTAATCATAGAATAGGTTATAGTCGGTCCGATTCCGACACATCACCCCGCCGCAAACTCCGGTGGGGTGACGGCCAGAGGGGGTTTCCACACGTAAAAAAAAGAGTCTGGGCTCTACCTAGTTTAGGATGAGACGGCCTTGTGTGAAATGTGTGAAAATAAATATTATTATACAAAGGACACAGGACATCGCTGCAGACTCTTCCTCTCCGGCTCCACGTCATAAAACCTCCAGAAGCCCTCCCCTGAGCCTATCTTTGTTTCGGAATCGAACTCACGACCTCTGACTTAGCAGTTAAGGTCACTAACCACTAGACCCGCTAGAGATAATATAATCACGTTATATTTTCAAAATACTCCCGATTGATAGCAATAGGGTTCATCATCATCATCAATCATCATAATCAACAGTCTTTAATAGTAGTGAATGAAACTAAAATTATGTTTTTCAACTATGAAGTATAACTCATTATTTTAGTTAGTTTAGTTAAGTTTTAGTTCTAAATAAATATAACCAACTGCTGCAGATTGCATCGAAAGCTATCCACGTCACCATAATCATCAATAGCCTCTAAAAATCTACAGCTGGACATAGAAATAAAGCTTTGATGGTTTGTTTCAAGTTTTCTCTTCTTTTTGCAACAATGTTGTCCTGCGTAGTTTGCTCCCGCATTGGACAACATTGGACAACGTTGGTTTAGAACTAAGGGATTAGTCGTCTCTTACGACACCCATGGGATGAATGGGTTGATGACTATCCGTAGTTTTAATCCGTCACCACACGGCCTTCAAAAGCTATCCATGTATACTATTCTTATTAATAAACCTTGAAAAATAAAGTAAGTTTTTTACCTGAATTAAGAGAAATTACAACACATAGAAGACTGGGGACCCATCGCTCTTACACAGCCTCCGGTACAATCTTTAATCTGTAAAGAAAAGGGAATGAATGTATAGGTTGCTGTTTCCATCACACATTCAATCAGTTAAGCTCACCTAATTCCTAAAAGTTTAGAGCAGCCACAGATGCTTGAAGCTTCTAGAATCCTGAAAACGCCTACTGGGGAGTTCAGTGAGCGTGTGAGTTTATTTTACATCAACTCTCGCCATAGTCATCGAGTCGTCGCGCGTCGTCGAGAGCGGGAAAATGTGAAATAAACTCACACTAAGCTTTCAGAGGATTCTAGAAGCTACCTACAAGTGTGTGATGGGAGCCATATTTTTTGCGTTTCGGTGTAATCGTAATTTCACTATTTAAATCAGGAATTTCCAAAATATTTTAGGCAAGCGACTCCTTTCCTAAAATGAACCTCAGACTGTGGGGTAAGCAAATTACCTTAAACATCCTATCTCTAGTTACTTTTTTCGTATTGATACAAAATAATTACCAATTTAAAAACTTTTCCGTCCGTTAAGTGAGTACACTTGACATCATTTTCTCATCAAAATTTAATAAAATAAATTAGACACATTAGTCAGTCTTGTAACAAGTTTTTTTAAGTTGAAGGCTTGGGCCCTTAACACAACTTATACAGTAATAGGGGTCGATTTTTAGACTTCGTTAACCCCCAAAATCAGTTAGCGTTTATGTCGACCCCTGGGAAACCGATTTCGACCCCAAGAGGTCGATAACGACCACTTTGGGAATCTCTGATCTAAGTAGTACCGAGTAGCTCGTAAATCAATACGAGTGATGCTCTCCCAATCAAGGCTGATTGTGAGATGCCCAAAATTCTCACGAAGTCCATCATGTTTTGTTTTTGTAAGAATTATGGCTCACGAGACACTTCGCGTGATCTGACACCAATCACCATGATTGGGTTTGGGCCTTCGATACCCTTACTTACTCGATATGCAGCGGAATAATTGATTAAAATCGGTTTATCGTAAAGCCGTGCCCATCGAAGTAGGAATATGTGTCCCACAGTAATAAAGGATAGTAAATTTTTTGATCTGAGGGCCAGTTTATTTCACTTCTACTCCATCGTCACGGTGACCGCGTTCGGCGCTACGATTGGCCCGCACTGAAATCTCCACCAATCGCAACGCTAAACGCGCTCGCCGTCGAGAGCGAGTCGATGAGAAGTAAAGTTACACTCAGCCCTCTGTACCTAGCAGTAAGTAGTATAACATAGTGTTCATAGTACAAGCTTATTGCTACTTAATATGGGAAACTATGTCTGGAAAGCGTTCCGTTTTTGAATGAAATTTCGAATGCAGATACTTTAATTCTTGAGGAAGGACAGGGTTTCTTTTTACTGCTATTAACGACATACACGTCGCGTGTAAAAGCTAGCATCACAGAAAATAGAAACCAAAAATATTTATAAAAAAAAACAAAGCAGTTATCTTCGTTTACAAGACCCTTTTCTGTCAATTGTTATTCGGATCATATTCGGCACATTATCATTTTTATCACGAAACGCATTATAGTGATTTCTGCCATCTCTTTCTAAAGGAGGTTGTTAATATGCTGTGGAAGGTTTTAGAGCTATTGCTTACAACTGTTTCGAAGGCTCTGTGTTTATCAGACAGAAGCAAAACCGAAATAGAGCATTATGCTGTTTCTTTGATCGAAACGAATACTTATATTTATCAGGTTAAGCTCAGTGACGCATGTATCATTAGACACATAGAAATTAAAAAAACGAGTTTTAGCCATATTCATTTTTTTTATTTAGTAACACATCATGCACGTGTAGTGCTTTCGAGAACTTAATGCCTAATGCATTTCGTACCATTCAACCATATATGGTCTCGGTACCGTGTGCACAGGCACAATGCTCTCTTTAAACACTTTAAGCTTCAGTTTTAGTGACAGCTTTTCACGCATTATATGCGAATTTGCACCGAAGCTGCCTAGACTCAGGAAATACGCCAATCCACTTCTGTGGTTTGGTTAACAACACCTAAAATATATACACATATATAAACCTATATACTACACCTATACACATTATGCGTTCTCAAAAGTACCGAACAAGACATGGAGTAAAGACGCACAGCAAAACTATTTTTAAATCAACTACAAACTCATGGGCTAAGGCATGGCATAAGCTAGTGGGGCCTACATATTATGTATTCATATGAAGATTTTATTTAAAATTTCTTTTGAAGAGAGTTATATATTTATACGACCGTGGCGGTGTGTCTGTGGTTTTCCCGCCCGCAACGGGAATATTACCCTTCGAAAAAACATGGAGCCGAAACCGTTTATAGCCACTTTTAGAAATTCGCTCATTTAAAAACAGCCTGAATTACATTACGTGTTCTTAAACAAAATACCAATGTTTTTTGGTATCGCGGTTATTCCGAAAAACAAGTATACAGCAATACAAGTAGCACTGGTGTCTAGTAATTAATTTCTAGTTACTGTCCGTGTTGTGCCGGATTAAAAATACACAGTGTTACCACCCCTATTCATCTCGTAGGTATCATAAGACGATCGACTGAGGGAGAAAACTACGCAAGAAAACGTCTGTGCAAAGAGAAAAAAAACTTGAAAGAAACCCTATTCTAACCCGTCTCTTATAGACCCTCCTGTCTAAGGAGAGGCTGTGTCCAGAAGTGGACTATTAAAGGCTGTTGATGATTGATGAATTAATTTCTAAATATAATTCTTACAGTTAGAGGCATTTTTGGTTGACTGTTTTTATAAGTTCTACTACTGTTTTAGATCATGTAATAGGCACAGGCCGTCGTTACAGGCTGACTGTCTGTAATGACGGTCTGTTCATATTAAAACCTGTAAAGCCTGGTCCAAACGTCAGACGACTCAAAGGTATGTTTTACTTAACCGTTTCGTAACAGATGTCGTGGAACCTATGGAACCTATATGCTACAAATGTCTTGATAAGTCAATTCTGACAAATAAAACGACGATACCAAGCTTGTATTGTATTTGTGATGTCGAAGAAGGTTCCACTGTAATTTACTTAATGTACAAGGAAAAATGCAAAATGTTTTAAAAGCTCCGAATATGTATGTATGTATATGTAGGTATGTATGTATTTATGTAAGTATATATGTATTTAAGTATATGTATGTACGTATGTATAATGTGTATGGGTTCCAGTGTATGATAGGTTTATGTACGCGTACTTGATATTACGAGTAAAACTACAAACAAACTCTAACCAATATGCACCTACTTCCTGTTCTCTCTGCATCACCCATAGGTTGACTGGTAGATGCCTTAGGCATTAAGTCCGCCAATGCACCAAAAGTGCATGATGTATAAATAAATAAACCATACAAATAGCATGCTTTCTATTGCACGTTAGATATTAAAATTCTTTGCTGTTAGAATCTATTTTCAACCTGTTCCATCCGCATTCTTTATATTTCAAACAAAAACCCCAAATTACTCTGCCTATTATTATCTATGTATGTACTTACATAGATTTATCTCTGAGATACACGACGCTTTTGTGAAATGAAAATAAATATTCCCGCGCAATAATTCGTTCTTTCAAAGACCGTGCTCTCTTTTGATATTGTTTTATCGTCAAGAATTATTATTCAAGAGGCATTATCATTTGGCTTC